ACCTTGCTTTTAGGAAAACATCAAATGCAAAACAAGGTTTACGTGGATTACTTGGATCACCAACTTAAATCGTGACTTAAAATCAGCAGGTGGGAGCCTTGCTTTGAGCCACACAGCAGTGCTTGTCTCACAGCTGGACCACAGTCAGCCAAGACTCCCCTTTCCTAAGAAGGGCAGAAGATCTTACTTCTGTGCGCAGCTCTCGTTTCAAGGAACTTTACAAGTGTATTTACCAGTATTTAAAAAAAAACACCTTACAAAAAACTAGAAAACCTAACACACCAGGGAACACCTACTCTTGTCAGTCACTTGCTGCAGCAACCAGTGTGATACCCACCTAATACTGTTTATTTACATCCCAGAGATGTTTCTACGTGTACATAATGCACCTTGGCTCTGCAGCATGGATTTGATGGCCTTTCAGTCCTCCCATCCCATGAGAGTCCTCCTACTTAACCCTAGAGAGAACAATTATGATAGCTCCCAAATTCAGAGAATTACATTCCTAATTTCTAACATATTTCTTTTCATCCCATCATCAACTAAAGAAACAAATCTTCCCCTCCCCCCTTAACAGATAAAAGCAGGATTTTGCTCTTCCCCACGTGTGCTACCCAAAGTAGCCTTTGCCCTCCCCAAACAAGAGGCTTAAAAGCTTGACAGTGCATATTCCAACTCACTCTACTAAATGATAATGATATCACCCTAACATTTTCTTTCAGATTCTCAATAAGGCAAGCAATTTTGCATTACGGGAAATCTGCTTTTGAGATCTCCAGATCTAAACTAACAAGCCCCATAGGCTCCAGGGATATCTATCTCCTTCTTATCGAGGACACGAGAAATGAATTTGTCCGTGTTCCAAAAATGGAAAAAAAAAGTATTTTGTCCTAAGCAGGAAGTCACAGAACAAAGCAACACAGAGTGCTAAAGTAACACATCACACCACTTTTAACTGAGATATTTTTAAGATCTGCCACAACACAGAAAGCCTCTCTTACTTTAACAACATTCTGTGCATTTGTCGTACCAAGGCTTATTAAAACACAGCTTCTAGCTGCAGTAACCACAATGAAAATGCAAGGTCAAACACTGCACTTACATATTAGCAGAAGTATGATCTAAGACCAAGTTCAACCTGTTTGCAGACTGGATGCAGAACCGTACCCATGCAGAAAGCACTCCCCCAAACTCCTTTCCAAGGCTCCTTCCCACTCAGTTTCCACAGCAGAGAATGTGTTCCTGCCCTCCTAAATTATTATGCTGTGAGAAAAACAAGGCAACACACTGCAGTGCAGAGCAGCAGAACAATTTCCCCGAGCCAAACAAAACAGCGTTTTTGTAAGGTTTGACTTTAATGCTGAAATTGTCATTTTTCTCTGAGACTTGCAGATGTGCAAATCCTACTGCTTGGTGGGGAAGGAAGAAGGAAAATGACAAAATCTGATAAGCTTTCCTATTCAACTTGCAAAGATACACATATCAGTGACAACGAGACTTCCACAGCAGCTGCTTCCAGAGCAGAACATAGGATCATCCTTCAGTGCATTCAAAGACAAAGCACATTATATTTTGTATCCTTCCCTGGGCAGATGGGACTTCTGAGAAACAGCAACAGCTTAAGACTCTAAATTCAAAACTTCTTTTTGAAGAAAAAAAAAGTCCATCTCGATAGCCAACAGTCACAGAGCAGATCTAGTTACAAAAGACGGAACATGAGCAGTCTGCGCCCATCACCCTTTCTAAAGACTGGATCAAACAATCAGCAGCAGATTTCATCCTTCCCTTAATCCAACATCGAGCGCTTCCCGAATTGTAACAGCAATTCCTAGAGAAAGCACCTTAACTGAAAAAGTTGTCTGAACAGAGATAACAGCAATCCAACACGCATTAACACGCTGGAAACACAGCTCTGCCTACAGGTGTGAGCTCAGCACCAAGCAGTGAGCTCCCGCCCATACCTCTGCAGCACACCTGCTGTCCTGCACACCGCCAGCTCCTTGCTGCACCGCAGCCAGCAAAGGGAACGCCGTGACAAGGTACAGAGCTGCAGTGCAGCAGCTGCTAACTGCCAGCAGCGGTAACCAAAGGCACACTGCCAGAATACAGCAGGTCGGTGATAAAGTTTCCTGTTGTTTGACGTTTTTTTGGTCAGGTGATTCATACACAGTCCCTGCTGCAGTGCTTCTCCTTGCACCCTGTTACAGTACAAGCAGCTGCAGGATTCCTCGGACAGCTATGGAATGGTGGAGACAGGAGGGGAACTGATCATTTTAGCCTCCATTTTTCTCTCCCAAAAGTTTGCCGCCCTCTGCGATAGATGCACCTCTGTAAGCACACATAAGAAAGAAAACCTACCGAACTCGAGTGCTAGATTCCAGTGAGTGACTACAGCAGGCAGCATCCAGCCTGCATCGCAGGCCTTGCAGCAGGAAGAACCCTCTGGTGAATGTGTCATGGGTGTGGTTGTGGAGAAATGCAGCAAGGCCAAACTCCATCTGGTCGTGGCATAACCTGTACTACGTCCAATGCCCTCAACCCAAAAGAAAGTAAGGCCGAGCTTATTAACACTCAGCTGTAATTTTCACACCAGATTTGCTCCTTTAACTGGAAGAAAAGACCGCTACTCACTGAAAGAAGTAGCAAACATTTTTCTTTTTCTGTTTGACCCCAGTAGAGCCTGGTGCCTGGGAAGCAGCACACTCCATGCACCTTGGGATGAGCAGCAGAGCTCAGAGGACAGTCTGCCCTCTCTGCAAACATGACCTGCAGCCACAGCCGGGAGCTGCCGCAGCGATCCAAAGCATTAGTCAGGCGTGTGAGTCAGTGGCAGAAATTCCCTTAGAAAAGCCTTACAGTGAAAGGCCCAGCTGTGCCTTTAGGGGGAAGAAAGGGGGGATCCATGAGAGAAAGCATTCCTCTTCAAGCAGAGATCTGAGGGATGCTGCCATCCTGCAACGGAACACTTGCTGTTAAGAGTCTGCGGACCTTAACACAACTTGCAGTGAAGCGGCACAACAAGAAGCCGACGTTCGCAGTTACCCTCTTACAGCCCTACACACACCTGTCACCGGTCTGTGTTCCAGAAGGCAGGTGATCGGAGCTGACAGCACATAACAGGTGAACCAACAGCAATACAGAGCTGAGCCGCACAGACAAGGAAACGTGACAAAGCTAACAGAGTAAACTTCACCGCACCTGGCAGGCTCTCCAGCAGAGACCTGGGCTCTCTGGACACAGGAGATGTGCGACGCCCCGAGCCTCGACCCTTCTTCAGCTCCTCCACCCGCCCGTCCACTCCTCCCAGAGAGCGCCTTCCAGCGCCGCGACCCCGGAGCCCCGCCGTCCCCAGGGCAGGTCCCTTCGCTCTCCGCTCAGCCCCGAGCCCGAGCGCGGAAAGGCGAGGCCGTGACGGCCGCCTCGGGGCCCGTTCCGGCACCTTCCAACGCGCCGCAGGAGCCCGGCGCAGGCCTCGGGTCGGGCGGCGGCGGAGCCGAACGTTCCCCCTTCCCCCCTCGGCCAGCTCCAGCCCCAGAGGAAAGTTACCGGGCGGCGCGGCTCCTCGGCGGCCCCGGCGACGGGCGGCCTCCGCTCCCGGCAGGTGCCCGAGCGCCCGGCGGCGGCGCGACCCGGCTGCGTGCCGCGGAGCTGCCGTGATGTAACGCGCGGCCCGGCCGCCCACCGCACGCCCGGCCCGGCCCGCCCCATTCCGGCCCGGCGGCAGCGACCGCCCCCGGAGAGCCGGGCTCTCGGGAGAACGAAAGCAAAGCAGTGCGCCGTGCCGTGCCGGCCCTTACGCATCGGTCTCGGCTCGGCTCGCTGTCCCGACGCGACGATCACCGAAGCGCAAGCAAACAAACGCAAGCGCCGCCTTAGCGCTACTAGCAGCGGTTCCGCTCACGCTCCTGCCCGTGCTCGGGGCCGCCGAGCATTGCCCCTAGGTATCAGTTCTGTCGAATCAGCAGAGAGCAGAACCCGATAAAGAATAGCACAACCAAACTGGTACCTCCGGTTAAGCGCAAGCAGTCCCGGCCTGCTGATACTTTTTCTCCCCGCGCCCCCTATGGCACCGCGTCAGCAGCGATACCAGGAAAGATCAACGTGACCTGGTGCTTTCCAAGAGATACGGAATCACAGTCGCTTTAATTCATTAAACGTTCAAGCACGTCAAACAAACGGCTCCGTCCAGCCGCCGCTGAGTTACACAGCCTTTTGTTTCTTAAGAAGCGACGCGTGACTCCCAGTGCCGCAAAGCACACTTTCTAAGGAACGCAGACAAAAGCAAAAGCCGAGACCCTCGCGTCTCCAATCTCGGGTAGGTAGAGACAGGCAGCACACACCGCCAGACACCCCAACCACCCATCATTTCCTCCTCCTTTCTTTAAGCGGCCCCGCCGGCCCACGGGCAGCAAAGGCCGGGCCTCCTCCGTGTCCGCGATCCCCTGAGGACCGCAAGGAAGAACGCAGCCGGGCACAACCTGCAAAGGCAGGCCCAGGGGATGGGCGGCACGGAGCCAGAGCACGTCTGCACTCCTCCTGTCCCGTAAAACACACCCGGGGGGTGCAAGAACACTGGATAACTTTCTCTGTTTTCACGAGAACGCGACGCGGAGAAGCTGACGGTCGACCCGCCTGCATGCGGAGCGAGGGGACGCTTCACGAGAAACGCAGCGACCACTGCACGCCGTAACTCGGGCAGCGCCTCGCGTTTAGCAGCCCGGCCCGGGGACTGCCCGAGCAGCGCCGTCACCGGGCGCGGCAGGGGAGCCGCGGGGCTGGGACACTCCGGAGCCGGAAGGCGGGCGGGGACGCGGCGCACAGCACCGCACAGCACCGCACAGCACCGCACAGCACCGCACAGCACCGCACAGCACCGCACAGCACCGCACAGCACCGCACAGCACCGCACAGCACCGCACAGCACCGCACAGCACCGCACAGCGCCGCGAGCCGGCCCGCGGAGTTCGGCGAGACAACCGGCGCGCCCCGGGCCCGTTTACCAGCGGAAAGAGCCGCTCGTCGTTCGCCTCGCGTCCCGCGAAAGCCTCGGGCCGCCCCGGCCCGGCCGGGCCCTGCCCGCCTCAGCGCCGGCCCCGCCGCCCGCCTCAGCCGGGCCCGGGCCAGGCCGCGCACGCGCCGTACGGGAAGAAGGCGCGCGCCCGCCGGCAGCGCGCGGAGAACTGCGTCCGTGCGGCGCGTGCAGCCGGCGGTCGGGTTCCGCGGGGAGCGCGATGGCGGCGGGGCAACGGGCGGGCGCCGTGCTGCTCCTCCTGGTGGCGTGGCTGCAGCCGCCGCCCGTCCGGCCCCGCAGCCTCCGTTTCGTGACGCTGGTGAGGAAAGGATGGGGGGCGGTGGGAGCGGGTCGGGCCGGGTCGGTCCCCGACGGGCCGAGGTGACGCGGTGCCGCCCGCAGGTGTACCGGCACGGAGACCGCTCGCCCATCAAGGCCTACCCGCGGGATCCCTTCCAGGAGGGCGCCTGGCCGCAGGGCTTCGGGCAGCTCACGCAGGTGCGTGCGGGAGGCGGGCCGGGGCAGCGGGCCGGGAGCGGCGAGGCCGGCGGTAACGGTGGGTACCGTTGCAGGTGGGGATGCGGCAGCAGTGGGAGCTGGGCCGGGCCTTGCGGCGGCGGTACCGCGACTTCCTCAGCGCCTCGTACCGGCGGCAGGAGGTGAGTGCCCGAGGGGCGGGGGGGGACGGGAGAAAGGAAAAAAAAAACGAAACCACAACTAAAATGACGACGAGATGGAGGAAAAGCTCATCGATTTTCGCTCCGCGCCGTGGCTGTGGGAGCGGCACGCGGCGCCGCCTCGTTCTGCGCTTCCGCCACCGAGCGCGGCGCAGCGGCACCTGCGGGCCGGGGGAGCGGCGTGCCGGCGGCCGTAACATATGCTCAACAAACGCCGTACCGTATCTGGTGTTGTTTCTTACTTGAGGTTGTTCTGTCACAACAGCAGATCCCGGTCAAAAAGAAGAACCCCGCCTGTGCTTGCTGTGCTGTCTGTGCTACGCTGCAGGCGCTGTCTCACGGCCCGTACAAACTGCGGTCCCCAACCAAAAGTGACCCTCTGTTCCCTTCTAGTGTAAAGGTTTTGTTCTCCCATCTGGTAACTTTGCCCTCTTCCTCTGCGGTGTCGTCCTGCTTCATTCCAGTTCCTGAGAAACTGACGGTCATCAGTGAACTTCATTAAAAATATTCTGGAGTCCGTGTGCAGCTGTGCGCTGTGCACAGAGGCACATCTGAAATTCCCCACAAACGTCCATTGTGGTTGACCACAGGGGTGTGAGTCAATGGGAACATGAGCAAGCATCATGCTGAGAGGTACACTATCATGTGGATGGAAAGGAAAGCTTGTCCTACTGCTGGCCTTGCATTGATTCAGTTGTTTTATCTGAGCTTACTTGGAGGCAAAGGAAGAGTCTCCATAAGATTTTCTGTTGTTACTCCCACCCATTGTGGACTCTCCAGTAAGTACACAGCTTGGTGTGGTTCAGATTACATCTCTTTGACCTCTGTCTTACCAACAAAACTTCCAGTCTCAATTCAAACAAAGGTCTTTTAACCTTCTTCAGTAGTTCCTTTCTAAATATATTCCATTCTTAGACAGCTTTTGCCAGCTGAAACTGTTCTCCTCTTGCTTGAGAAAGAAAAACTAACCACGGCATATGCAAACAAAAACTGTTCTGCTAACCAAGCCTGAAATGAGCAGGCTTGAGTTAAGCAAGTTCTCTTATAAGAAGTGTTGCCTCTGGATGATACCGTGTGACCATCTGTCACCTGACTCAGCGACAGGCTGGAGCCTTGGCAAAAGGTGCTGAAGAAAGCAAATATGCTCAGGGCTTAATTGTTTGGGGTTTTTTAATGACACTTAGAGAAGTAGGTCCTTATATTTTAAAATATTTCCTTTCTGCTTCTTCAGAGCATACTTACGACAGAGGCAATCCTGTCTAAGTACAGGATCAGTTTTTTTTAAGCCACAGTTAGAAAGTAAATGTAGGTAGAAATAGTCAAGATTTTTTTTTGCCATGACTTCAGTTTTGATACACGTTTACATGGGAGATATACATGATGAGCCTATTTGTTTGTTTGTTTGTTTGTTTACATTTCTCACTTTTCATTTAGCATTTAAAACAAAACCCCACTCTTGACATTATATTTGACTCTTCTGGCATTCTTTTCTTCTTATTTCAGGTCCAGTGTTGGTTTTTAGTATGTTCTTTTCTATGTGTTTATCCTGTCTTAGCACTGGTTTCCCTTCAGTTTCCCCAAAGCGTTTTCAGTACATGCATATCAGAATACCAGAGATTTTACCACTTTGACCTTCTGAACTCTTTTGTATTTTTCTTTCTTTTCTGGCTCAGATTTCTCTCTGAGCTCTGGAATGGTAAGTCTTGACCCATTAATCCCAAAAGTACACATTCATCAAATAAAATCTCATCTTCCTCACTTCTCTTTCTCTCTTAGAACACTCTTGTTTCCATTTCTCAGGTGGTAAAGCTGAGGTGTGGAGAAGCCAGGTTTTTGCGTGAGCAGTAGCCTGCTCCTGAAATGGAGAACTGAATACTGCAGTTTGCCCCAGTTCTGCCTTGTAAATACAGTGCACTTCCTATCTGTGTCCATCATTATCTGCACCTCTGTCTTGCCCTTCTCTGACTAGAATATCCAGACTCCCTTCCTTCCGTCTGTCATCTCCACACAGCGCATCTTACTGTCCCGCTCTCCCAGAACAGAGTGCTCTAGTGCTACACGACACATCATCTCTCATACCCATCCTTATTATTCCATCCAGGCTGACAGCAGCAGGCTCAATCACTTCGGTTCCTGTTACTCTGTTGTCTGTGAGCAGCTGCAGGGCACTTGGCAATGTTCTTCAGCACACACGTTGTCCTTTGTCTAAGCACTATCACTTTCAGTAGCAATGCTAATGGTGCATTGTCCATATCCTGCCAGATCTTCATCCGCAGCACGGATTATGATCGGACGCTGATGAGTGCGGAGGCCAATCTGGCCGGCCTGTATCCCCCAGAGAAACAACAGATGTTCAACCCTAACATTTCCTGGCAGCCAATCCCTGTGCACACAGTGCCGGAGTCCGGAGAAACGGTAAGTTAGTCCCAAGGATGTGTACTGACTACTCGAGTAACGTTACGCTGACTTCTCCATAAGCTTTTTCCTTCAGTCTCAATTCAGACTGTCTTGAGCTTCTCCTGGGAACCTGTCTTGCAAAGATTCTTCTGTTCTTTGAACAAGATGAAAACTGAAGGTCTGTGTTTGTACAGCCAATATTAGCCACAGCCACTCACCAGACCACACACAAACTGGAATGTGTGAGAAGGCAATACCTGAAGCTGTTCATAGATGCAGCCCACCAGTCAGAGTTTTGGTACAATTTTGTATGTCAAAAGTCCTGTACGTACAAATCCTGTACATCTGTATTCTCGATGATCTTGCTGCTCTTGTCTCTTTCCAGCTATTGAAATTTCCATTGACCCCCTGTCCACGATATGAACAGCTACAGAATGAAACACGGAACTCAGCAGAATACATAAATAAGACCAGAGACAATTTGGTAAGTGGTCGTTTGCATGAAATAAAGTGGTCTTAGGATTTTAGTTGAAATATTGATACCTTTACATTATCAGAGAGAAGGGTAGGAAGACTCATTCTGTGTGTGTAATGCTGCATGAGATTGAAAAATTGAAGGTCTCTCTCTGCTCGTACCTACAGCAATTCCTGCAGATGGTGGCAAATGAGACAGGAATCCGGGATCTCTCTCTCGAGTCTGTTTGGAGTGTGTATGACACACTGTTCTGTGAAGTAAGTTTGGTCATCCTCTTACAGCCATGAGACTTTGGTCTCAGGGCTCTGTTACCTCTTGCTTTGTAGCTTAAATACCATGCCACAGGTGCAGTAAATTATTCATTTGAAAGTCACTAGAAAATGACTGCAGTCTGAAATCTTCAGCTCTCCAGAGACAGCTGAGTTAGGTAGAAATGAGATTTCTGGAAACACGTTCACTTTATGATTTAAGTTAGAGGCTTTAAGTTGAGACCATTCCTGATTCTACCTCTGCCTCTGTTAATTTGGGTCAATCACTTCTTTCTGTGTTCTGTTAATGTTTATTTCTCTCTGCTAGGTTAAGTGGGTTTCACCAACATCTGGGTTTAGATCTATTATGATATCCTATGACAAAGACTAGAGACACGTTACTTCTCTACCATGTGGGGCAAGCCCAAAACTCATGGTATTTTGTTGAAAGCACATCTTGTGAAGGCTTAAAATAAAAATCAGGTTAGCTAATGACAAAGTGAAGGTCATGCATGCAGGAGACTTATAATTATTGCATACATCAATTTGTGTACAACTGTAGAGCATAAGGAAGCATGTTATAGAGATCTTTAGTGTCAGACTAGCTATTGTTGAAAGAATCCATAAACTTAAATATTCTGACATTCTGTTGATGCTAATTCTGTGTCCATGCTCGTATTGTGGACACGCAAGGCTTGTTAGTTTGCTGGCGGTGGTACGTTAACATATCTGTATATGTCCTTTGGGGATGTAAAGGATAAATCTGCATGCAGTTGCACTTGCTCTGTAAAGTAGCAGCTTGAGTTGCTGCAAGCTGAGAATATTCCAATCCAGAGTGGCACTGCACTGTGTAAATTTGCCCTTTGTATCACAAACGTAATCTCCTATCGCTCTGAAGCAACTTCTGTCAGTAACAAAAATCCCTCTGGTCAGAGAGATCAAGAACTTCACTTTCACTTTCAAGACTGACTTAAAGAGCTTGCAAATTGAGTCAAGAAACCCAACTGAACCACTGTAGCCCTAAGATCTCAGGCAACAGCTCACTGTCCCAAAGTGAAAGAGAACACTGTAAAGAAGAGGAGATCCCCTCTCGAAACTATACCCTTATACTGATTGATCTCTTTAGATACTTTGAATTTCCTCCTTTTTTCTCACTTTTACAAACAGTGCCCTGAAGAGAAGTACTGTTTTTCACACTGGAACCAGGAGATTCACTGTAACACCTGGATGAAAATAAAAGCCCAAGAAATGCCTGAACTTAGCAGCTATTATTTCTGTATAGTAATGAAAAACTAGCTAAATATGTAAGTTGCTAATGGGAACTGCTTAGACAGAATGAGCCCTTAAGGATATTCAGTCTCATCTTCTGGCATAGAAGAATAGAAAATAATCGAGTAATGCCAGGGAACCACAGCTGTTTGTCTGCCAGCATAACTAATTATTTCTTGTAAATGGTTAGCTACAAAACAAATTCTTTTCTAGATTCCCAGTTACATGTATTTGAGGTTTGATTGCTGGGCCTCATCCCAGGTGCATCCCAGTACTGTTGCAGAGTGCTTGCTAACATTCTCCAGTATCCTTCATTGGCTCTCAAAACCTCCTGGGGAATTGTGCTGCAGACACAGCAGAAAACTTGGGTTCTTGTGCTCTCCGGCTTGGCTTTTTGTTTTTGACTGTGTGCCATCTGCATACACACGTAAAGCAAAAGCCCTGAGATTACTGTACTGTTGTAAGAATAAAAGCCCGCACTCCAGTTGTGCATTTACAGAAAAGTAGCTCCTCAACTCTAATCTTTATGCTTCTCATGATTAGTTTCTAAAGCAACATTAAAAAGGAAGGACACAAACTACCTCTATTTTCTGTATGCAGTGTTCACAGTGATTATAGAAGCATAAATAGAAGAGGGTAATACTTAAAGTAAAGCAGGAACACAACAACAGTTTGGGCAGGACTCCAGACACCTTGACTCCTGCTCTGATTAATCTGTGGTCCGTGCTACCTGCACATGAGTACTCTCTTTCTCTTCCTAGCAAGCACACAAAATGGATTTGCCATCATGGGTGACACCAGATGTCATGACTCAAATGAAGCAGCTAAAAGACTTTGGTTTTGAATTTCTGTTCGGAATTCATCGTCGGGTAGAAAAAGCTCGTTTGCAAGGCGGTGAGTGCACAAAGGAAGGAGCTTTGTGCTGCTTTGTCTGGATTTTGAATCTTACTAGTTATTTGTGTTTGCCAGGGGTCCTGCTGGATCACATTAGGAAAAACCTAACCAAAGCAGCAAACGTCTCTGCCCACCAGCAACTGAAACTACTTGTCTATTCAGCGGTAAGTCATAGGTTGGGTACTAGCTTTGGTCCACTTACCCTTCCTCACCGGGAACTGGGGCTTGCTGATGGCTTTAACCCTTTCTGGCTTCTCCACAGCCTATGCAGTGAGCAGGAGATGTATCTTTGCCTTTGGCTGGGTGGGATGTGCCACGTCTGGCATCATTCCTCTAGGGCCGTTGAGGAAAATTCCTAACTGGCACTTCGCTCCTTTTAGCTTAGACTTGTGGATGAGACTGGTAGTCTTTGGGGGATAGTGCTAGACTTCACTAGTGGATGGGTTGGTGGTACTCAAATGTGATGTTACACAGTGTAGCTGAAGTCATGCCCCTAACTTTTCAGCAGCCTACTGACTGGAAAGTCAGGCATCTCTCCCAAATCTGCCCTGTAGAAAATAATTCGTAACAGAATGATGCAGGACATATGGCTTTGTTTCACTACCTCTGCTTCTCTGGTACCATCACAGATCACTTTTCAAACAGTACTGCTCCTTTCCCTTCTTCCCTGTGGAAGTTGCAATGGGGACTTCCCTTCAGCACTGTCCTGTCTGCTGCTGGTATGGTCTGAGCTGCCCTGCCACATTCATGAGGGTGACTGATTTGGTTTTTTTCCCTCTTTCTCAGCATGACACCACACTTGTGGCACTGCAGATGGCTCTAGATGTCTACAACAAGATTCAAGCACCATACGCCTCATGTCATTTATTTGAGCTGTACCAAGAGGATGATGGGTGAGGGCTGCAGTAAAGATGTCTGCTGTGATTTCACCTCAAGGGTTAGATACGTAGGCTAGGTGTAACCTAGGGGGATGCAATCTTGGTCCTAGTGGCAAACTCTTAGGAAGAAAACAACCACCAGACTAAAGGAAATGGTGTGCACACTAAGAGCTTTTTGGGAAGGGATGACTTCAGCTGGATGGAAAAAAAGAAAACACCTATTTTCTGTGTTTTTTTTTCAGTAATTTCTCTGTGGAAATGTTTTTCCGGAATGAGAGCGGAAAGGAACCTTTCCCGCTGACAATTCCTGGCTGTCAGCAAATATGTCCATTGCAAAGATTCTTGGAACTCACAGATCCTGTTGTTCCTCAGGACTGGGAGCAAGAATGTCAGGTAGCAAGCAGTATGCGTGACACAGGTGAGCCTAAGCTGGATGGACCAGATAGTGGCAGACAGGGAAAGCTTGGTATTATACTGACTGCTTATTTTCTCCATTGCAGGACTGTTTGTGGGTCTGGCTGTGTGTGGATCCATTCTCCTTCTCCTTATAATCCTCCTCTTGACCGTACTCCTTCGCATTCAGTCTCAGCCCCCTGGCTACCGACATGTTTCCAATGAGGGAGAAGAACAGGCCTGACAGTTGCTTCAACTCCTTCCCAGGCAATAGGAGGGAGCAGTGTTGCCCCTAAGGATGATTGGGCATCTTCAGTTACTGAGAATTCTGCTTTGGCTGTTGCTTCCCAGAATGAAGCTGGACTGTGATTTTTGGATGCTTTCTAATGAGATGCCCAGAGAGAGGATTAACCTAATCTAATGGAAGCGGACATTTTAATTCTGAGAAGCCACTCTACTGTGTGGTGCCCAGTCCTCATACAACTTGTCTGGGATTCCCACCATGGCCAGTTGAAGCTTATGAAGAATTTTCCTCCTTTCAGTGATTGTAAATGTAACCACTCATCATGACTGTAGCAGAGGCGCTTGTTTCTCCAGAAGGTGCCACATTTAGGACAATCAAAAATTGCTTCTCTTTCCACACAACCTGCTTTGTGTGCTTTTCTCTCAAGCCTTTGGACTGATGCTGGTGGGAAAGCTGGGCTTGGAGTAGAAGGCCCAGATCACCATGTGCAGTGGCGGCAGCTGGTCACACAGAGGAAGCTGCTGCAGATGATGGCAGATAGTGACAAGTGGTTCCTGAGACTGCTAAGTAGTTGTTGCTAGTCAGTTCTTCCCCTCCTCACATAGCAGCTCAAGAGAAAAGAACTGGCCTGGGATCAGGACAGAACTGCAAACCTGGCAGTAGTTTTTTTGGTATTTGGTTCAAAGTTACATATGATCCACATCCATATGATCTTGAGCAAAGAGCTTCAAGATTAGAATAAATGCCAACTCCTGTATTGTTTTTTGTTGTTGTTGTTATTTTTTTGTTTGGTTGGTTTTTTGTTGTTGTTTTTGTTTCCTGTATCCCCTACTGGACCACCTCATTCAGAGGAAAAAAAAATGAAATCAAATCGTAAGGATCAGACTTTGCAGGTCACTGTGGATCCCTTCATCTGCCATGCTTTGGCTTTCTGTCTGAAGTGTGATCATTTCTCCAGGCAAGCTGGATGGAAGCTGTGGGCCTCTCTGCACACTGCAACTGCCAAGTGCTCACCACCTGCCTCACAGCTTCTGGCAGAAGATGAGAGACTGTGGCAGGCACCAGCACAGGCTCTTCACATGGTGATGCTGCACATTCACTTCCCAGTTTTAGTTCCTTTTCTGCTGCAGTTCCCTTTCCTTCTTGGCGGCAGAAGCGAGTGCTTAGGCTAACGACATTTCCTTGGGACTTTTCCCCACACCATAATTGACATCTGCCAGCATGGGAACTCTGAATCAGCAGTAGCAGCTTGCTGTTCTCAGCATCTTCCTCACCTTTTTGTCCTCTGAAGATGTAATCTAGGTTTGCTGCACAGTGAGGCAGTCATAAAGCAAAAGCCTGTGTGAACAGGCACAAAAAAAAAAAAGAGGTAATAGAAAGTGCATTTAAGGGACCAGACCTGTTATTTTTAAAGACAGCAAATTTTGCACATGCAGAAAAAAGGTTTCCATGATGATAATGACATTCTGACTGTGAATGACTTTCTGTAATTGTTTCAGTACATTTCCTTTTCGTCATTAAAATCAAATTCACACTGAACTTTATTCTTCCTCTTTAAGATTTCACAGGGTTAAACCCAGCTCACCCTTAGAAAACAGGGATAACTTAGTATATCCCCTTCCAAGGTAAATTCCTTGTTTACTAGAGCAAAGTGAGAATTGAAACAAAGTTATTTGGCTGGTAGCAACCATGCATATGTGTAGCTTATAATGCAGCCTGTCCAACTGGGAAGGGTCTTTGCAGATATGGCATTATGACAGACAGAAAAATCAGTTCTAGTTCTCATAGTCCTCCAGCAGAAAGATTAATACCTTCTAACCTCCCAGATAAAAACAGTTCAGCAGAATAATCAGAGCACCCATTTTATATCAGAGAAGTATTTCAGTTTAGTACAAAACTTTTATTTATATCAAAGCTGTAAAACTATTAAGTGAACACAGGGAATCTCAGCAGGTCTAAAGCCTGCTCATCAACTGGAGCAAGGCTCCCAGACAGCTTTATAAACAAACCAGAAAAAGCAGATTTTTTCAGTTTAACAGCAGTTGTGAGGTCCGACTCAGAAAAGGGGCATCTGAAAGAAATCCCTCGTTTCTGCTTAACAACACATCCAACATTCTGAGGCACACTGGCATGGGTGAAAAAAAATACTTAACTGGTAGCAAAAAAATGCCTAGAGTTCTGAAGACAAAGAATCAGTAGGTTCTTAGCTCTATATTGCCTATGCATCCCACAAGGCAGATAAAGAGGTATGGCATCATAATGTTCTTCATGGTCTAGTTAAATAGCTGCAGGTGCAGAATAGACTTAGCCTGAGGTTTTTGACAGCACATGCTGCAAGAAGCTTGCAGATGGGAAAGGCTGGTGTTTCCTTAACTCGCTCAAGCTATCCATCACCTCACCCTTGTGAACATTCTATCTTTCAAGACATGAATCTTGCTAACAAAGGTTTCCTCAGCTCAATTTGACTAAAACAGTCTGGAGACCTCATCACAAGCTGCTCCACAGCAGACTACAGGAGATAATATCCTGTTATCACACTGTTAATGATAACAAGCAGGCTGGAAGCAGTAACTTCAGCAGGATCTGAAAACATCTCTGAATTTTCCTTAGAAACTCTGAAGTGCCTCAGAAATTAAGTGGTAACTCCACTGGCAACTCTCTAGAAGGAGAAGCAGAGAATCACAGAAGCAAGATCAGATCTAGGGAGGGAGGACAAAGTAGAAGGCTAATGCCCTGCAGTGCCTATTCTGCCCACTGCCATCACTGAATTTGTCTTCTATGATCAAAAAAGGATCAAAATACTCTATCAGTTATATAGATCCCTTTTCACTTCCTTCCCTGTGATTTAGAATCTTTGGGTTTTGTTCCCATCTCTTCCACTTCCCAAGACAATAACTTAGCTTTGAGTTTGCTTGTCCCAGGGTTTGCCTGTCTCTGCCCTCCACGTCTGGACAAACTCCGGCTCCCGATCCCCTGCTCAGTCATGGCTTTCAAAAGATGTTCTTGCTTCTTCATCACCATCTCCTCCCGGCTCCAGATCAGAATATTAAAGCCTGAGAGGAAAAACAAAAACATTATGTTTTGTATATCAGAAATTTTTTATAAAAATATAGCACCAAAGGCCATGTCACTTTGATGCCAGAAATTCAAAATATTTTGTCTGTTCTAAGACATTTACACAGTCTAGATGATGCAAATATTTGTATTGCAGACAATCTCTAGGTGGCCCACAGAATTCTGCTCTAATTGAGAACTGTAATCAAGTAATTTCTAGTCTTATCTGTCACAACTATAAACCACAAACCTATAGTCAGGTCCCATAATCTCCCACAGCCTAGGAAAAAACACTCTGCTCCGAAGCCTGGAAAATGAGTCAAATAAAGGGAAAGTGCTACAGCCTATTCGGAAAAAGCCTTTTTTCTCCCCGTCCTGTTTTCTGGAACAATTTCATGGCCAGCAGATGGCAGCAGCTTCTGGCCCAGGGATGGCTTCTGACTCTCCCGGAAACATCCTGTTTCATAACCGCCGAAGTGGAAGAATACTAAGAAGCTCTTGATTTCCTTTTACACGAGTAGGAAACTGTAAAGGACTACTAGTGAATGGGATTTAGGAAACCCATACTTGCAACTTGTTTAGTCTCTGAGGAACAAGCCTGCCCTTTTCCAGGAGCTTAATGTTCCGGATTCTTTTTACTTACCCATGCCAGAGGCTAGTGTGTCTCCCATAGGGTTAAATTTATTCAGCTGAAAATAGACAAAACGAGTCTGTAAGAGCATCATTGGTTATATAACAGAGGCATAAAAGCACCACTGTTTATATAATGGCAACAATCTGGAAAGCAGAATGTTCCCTAAAGAGCATCACAGGAAACCTACAGATGACCACAGAACAGCCCTGCTCGAGTCAGCAGCTTTAGCCGGCATTCATAACCCCATGAGAGCATGAGTCTGTCACAAGTAAAGCAGACATTCCTGTTGTTCTAATCCCTGAAACCTCTCTCTTGGCTGCATATCAATACTCAGAAATACTTTTAGCTGCAGTGCCCAACTCACCGAGATTATACCAGATGCATTCGGATCATAGAGCTGACAAACCATCTCCCCGGTGTTTCCATCAAATATATCAACAGTTCTCAGCTCATTCACTGTGTAGCCTGGGAACTTCGGGTCCGGATAGCGACCCACTACAATGAGATCATAGCGAGGATGCCATGTTGCCTAGTCATAGAACAGAGCAATGGAGAGTTAGAGAGCAGGGCAGAGCTGATGCTGATGCACAGCAGACAGCCAGCAGTGTGAGCAGCAGCCTGGGCATCCCACCCACGGCCTGGGCAACAAGAGCGTCCTCAGAAGGTGCTCTGCAAAAGCTGCAGAAGTATGAACATCCACCCACCAGTGTTATATCCTGACCAGAAACCAGACCATTTATTTTAAAGCCTGCTGCTAGCACCAGCAGCAATACTCTTCTCAAACAATAGCGACTTAACTTGCCTTAATAGGTGTGAGGTGCTGGAATTGCCGATGTGGGTGTGGGATCAGATGCTGAGGCTTGGTCCAGTCTGAACATGAGTAAACCCTGATTTCATTGCGCTGGTCTGTGCTCAGCAGCTTGGCACCATCTGTTGGGCTGAAGTAAGCTAGAGAGGGGGACAGTAAGCCAAAGATCACAATGCTGTGATTGACATGAAACACAGAAGTCATATTTGTCTGGAAAACCATAAACTATGATATGAATGTGGCTGTGCATCTCAAGAGACAAGGCTTCATCCATCTCAAGCAAACTCAAAGCTCTTACAGTAAGTTGAAACCTACCACACTGGGTTACACAGGGAGAATCACTATTCTCATTTTAGAGTCACGTAAACAAACACTGCAAACAAAGGAACCTGTTCACTCAGATAGAAAGTCATAAGTACACGAGATATGAAGATGACAAAAGAGACATGGCACAGATGGATACAAACTGGTAGAACTGCAGTCAAGGAACAGTGCCCTAACTCCCATATCCTGCTTTTATCAAAGGGACTGGCCCAGTATATTCAGATCTGCTTTTCTCAGGTTCGATCTCTACCCTGTCTTGCCACACACAGCCTCTGAACACAAAAGCCAGCACAAGAACAGATTGCAGCATATGGCTGAGTGCAGGGGGAAACCTCCGAGGCAGCCCTCTTCAGATCCGTTTAAGCTGCCATGAAACCACACTGTCTACTAAACCTGAAGGGCAATAGCTTAGGAAGTACTAAGCTGTAAGCTGCCTGTCATAAACAGAACAAAACATTTAAGTATGCTTCTACCACTAATACCACTAACAGCAATTAAAAATAATTTACTCAGAAGGTGGAAAAAAAAAAAAACAAAAACAGAACAGGCTAGCCTTTTTTTGTAGTTACATTAACCTTCTCCCAAAGCACTCTTAGATATGTTAATGTTCAATGTTTGCATTTAAAAATTACATGGAACTTGAACAATTTGAATCTGATTGTATTGAGGTTTGCTCCAAAACAAGAACACCATCTCATGGTTTTGTGGAATAAAAGCAAGACAGAATCCAAAATGATTTGGATACAGACTCAGATGAAAAAGAAAGCAATAAAAATACACGGATGGGAGAGTCAGCAGACATACATGCAACAAAATCCTTATCTCAGGAACTCACCTGCATTGACAGGTTTGTCATGAGGAAGTACGTGAAGAAAATTTGCTTTGTCTTTAATGTTTCTGAGGTCCCAGATTTTAACTGTCTGATCCACAGATGCTGTGGCCAATAACCACTCACATCGAGAGTTAAACTCCACATGAGTCACTTTCTTCTTGTGCAGTTTCAGCCTCCAAATCTGCAGCAAATAGAAAATCACACAGGAAAAAAAAAATCATGAGCTAGAATAGAGAAATTGAAGAAAAATCTACTAGTGCAGAGTAAAGAGGCCAGACATTTAGAGAATAAAATAAAACTGACTACAATACACTAGGAGTTTACCTTGTGGGAGCAAGAATGGAGAAAAGTGACCTTGGAACTATTCAGTTCTGGAAGAATCTCTAATCCATCAATTTATTACAGCTACAGGAGAGAAAAATGCAATCCCTGGTTCACTGAGGAAAGTATTAGTACCATGGTACAAGGCAAGACCTCATCTGGAACACTTCATGCAGTACCAGTTTTCCACTGACAGAAAGACTAAAACAACTGGAACTGATACACAGATGAGCTGCCAACACAACAACAAGAAGGAAGAGAACTGCTTTGGTGAAGATATGAAAAAATTGCTTTCTTTATTTTAATAAAAATGAAAGATGACAGAGGATGTAATTGGCTTCTAGAAATATATCAGAAAATTAAACATAAAGGAAGCAAAATATTACAATTATCAATTGAAACATTTATACTGGACACCAAAAGATTATTTCTAATCAACTGAGTGAAGTTGGTCCATCATCTCTATTGGGAGATCATCTATCTAATGGGTATCTCCCAAGTGAAGAAAAGACTTTTGTCACATTCTTTCAGAAGAAAAAAATGGAACAACTAGCTTAGAACAAGCACAACTCATACAGAGTATTTATAATTCTGCTCACTAATTTATACAACTGCCTCTGGCCACAGCACACTGGGCAGTAAATTCTCACCCTTGATGTCACCCCTGTAGGCAGGAGAAATGGTAATTCCAGTCTGTCAGTACAGCAGGTTCTTATAAGCAGGACCAACTCCAAGTCTGTTCTCTAACAGGTTTCTGCACAACTCCAGTCTGGCTGTGCCTGCCCTCTCCTGCCTAACAGCAGTAGTGCAATTTCTATCCCAACATTCACTGAATTGCTGTGGTGTACTTGCAGAAGGGTATCTATCACAACAGTATCCACCAAACGGCCTCCACCAGTGCACTGTTTTTGGAAGCATGAAGGTTGCTGGCAGAGGGCATTTATGTACATATTACAGGTTGCCCTGTAATTACTCTGCCCAGTATCAAATACCCTGAAGGAAGGGGCAGCACATCACACAGTTCCTGTCTGAGAGTTATTACAGTGCCAGTTGGCAGAAGCACAAACAATCTCACCACCTAAACAGTAGCAGACTCATCTTCTCAACTGCAAGGCACTTGTACTTTCCTACACTACAGGGGCCTGGAAAAAAGAACACAAGCCATGAAGATTCCCCCCCAAAAAAACACTTAGTGAAGCCATACTAACCTCTTCACCAGAAGTGCTGAGCAGGACCACATTGCCCAAATTATCACCTGTCACCACAGTACGGCAGCTTGCAGAAACATCAACACTGCAGTACCAGCAACTAGAGGGAAAGAGACAAAATCAGTGCTACCTCTCACAGGCAGGTGAAGGCAGCAGAGCTCTAGTTCACACCTTATCCCTGTCTCTGACAAAGGAGAATGCAACAGATTGCATCTGTCATCCTCTCTCTGATCTGATGGTATGGCTCTGAACAGCAGGAAAGGGGGTCATCAGCAATGCTAGCTTCTGGTGACTGAATATGAAATAATTCCTAAGGCATCTATGAAGTGCTCAATAGAGGGGAGTGTGGCATGTTGGGACAGTGGAATATAATAGAAGCTGAAAAGTCATTCAGAAACTTCACATGGACACACCCAAGTGACACTGGCAAATATATAGAAATGGCTTTTAAAAAGGTTTTCCACAAAACAGGAAGCAACGGAAAAGAAAAAAACAAGAGCTCTGGACTAGAAAATTCCATTTCTAAACTATCTGAACTTTATGCTCCTAGAAAAAAACATGAATAGAGGCTTATCTGATAAAGACATTCTTCTTAGCCACAGCTCTGCTGGGGGGGGGGGGTTGGCCCAACGAGAGTAAAGCTGTGTTCCTTCACTTGCTTCACTTGCAGAGCTAAATTATTCTTGAATTCAAGATGGAAGAAATTAGCATGGTGAGCCTGAACTCTTCACAGGACAGTAGGGTAAACCCAGTAAGATGAAATTCAGATTCTGAAGTAAGGCTTTTCTGGAATTCCTATCCTGCCTGAGTTGCACACAGAAAACACAAAACACTGATCACAAAGAGGAGAAGAAAGTTACTCTGTACATTATACAGTGAAGCACTGTCAGTATCTACAAGATGGGAGATGGTGTCACCAGAAAGCAACACCAGAAGGTGGATCAGCGTACTCAGCTACCGCAAAAGCTAAAAGCCTTGTGGCTGCCTGGCTTATCACCCATCCTGTAGTGCTGGAGTGGGGCCCAGGAGCCTACCTGTGAGCTCCCTCACGAGACCAGTTCATATCAAGAATCTCCTAAAACCTTCAAAGAAGTGTACATTCACATGACCAGAGCCACAGCATTAACACAGCATTACAGAGCAGAGATTCAACCTCACTCTGCTCCTTCCTCACCAAACGTTATGGTTCTCATGGCCACAGTCCGGGGCACGGGAGATCACCTGCACCGCTCTGCCCTCAAGATCCTGCAGACTTAGGGTGCCATCCCCTGATGCCACATAAAGCTTCGCTGCCTCATAAGGACTGAACTTGATGTCTCCAAGAGAATCTCCTGGCCCTTTCTGGAATACATACAAAGCCAAATGGTATCAAGGTTAGAGTGGAAAAAATCTTAATACAACCCATCTTTCTGGAACACGCTGCAGGATTCTCCAGGTGCAATGCACAGCTTTCTGGCAGGGGACACTCACAAGAACTTTCTGATCTGTTTCCACCTAAGCACATACATACTGTATCTGTAGGTTCAGCCCCAGTGCTTTGGGCTGCAAACCTCATTAGCAGCACTGCTTCCTCTGCACTGGGTGCAGGACAAATATGCAGTGAACCACCTCACTCAGAACAGCTTAGGAGATTACAAGAAAAATACAACACTATTCCATGCAGAAACCACATAAAATCTTATGACAACCCTGCATTAAGCTTTCTTACACGGTCTTCATTTACCAGTTCACCACAGGCTACTTCCATTGCTTTATCTGGTCTTACTCAAGGTCTCCCCAGGAAAAACAAGAGTAGTGCCAAGAGAAATCCTACTGCTAACTACAAGGCACAAGAACTTCATGCCAGAGCTGTTTTCTCCCAGCTGTTTTCTCTCCTCTGAGGAAACGCAGAAATCCTACAGAAACAAAGACGGAAAACAAGGATGCTGACTGGGAGTCCCCAAACTCTGGTACTCAAGTGTCACTCTGATGCTCACACAACAGCTATTTAACAAAGATGCACTGTAAATATTAGCTGTTAAGAGGCCAGGGAAGACAAAAAAAGGCCCAGTTACAGAGCCTGTCTGCCCTCACAGTAGTGGAAGAAGGATGGTGTATCTATGCATAACTCTGACAGGCATTCCATTGGGATACAAGATCTTGTCCCAGGGTGGGTCCAGAACAAGGTCTATCCCGCCTTGTTCACCTAGCTAGTCATCTCAGCACCACTAAGGATCACCTTCTGTCTTAAGACAAGAGTGCAGCTGGAACAGCCAGATTGGAAACCAACCACAAAAGGTGCTACCAGAAATAGCCAGATGGAGAAATGTAAAGAGCAGGCTAACCCAATTTCTCCTCACTTAGCTTTCAACACTGAGCAGAATTAACTAACTGAAGAGTTCAGGCTTCCTCGTGGGTCCACAGAATAGACTGAGAGGGTGATTCTAAGCACGGGCAGATAGAATTGCCTCTGGAGATTCATCTCCTCATTCCACTGACTCTTAGTTTTGGCATTTTATATAAGCATTGAAAGTTAGGTGGAATGAATCAGAAGAATCCTTATGACACCACTTGAAGGCAGTGGTGTTAGTGGAGAAGTACTGGGGGCACAAGAAATTGCTCAGCAAAAAATCATCTGGCAGTGAGCAGCACTGCACCAGGTCAAGAGGTTAGAAGGTCCCCAGGGCAGAGTTACAGAACTTACAGCTGAAGAAACCCACTGGCACAACCCACACTCCCTTGTGTAACTAGTAGTAAGCAAGCAAGCACCTACAGCCCTCCCCTTAACGAAGAAAAGCTCTCTCCTACCCACCACCCCATTTCAGAGAAAAATAGAGTGAGTCTTCCTGGACTACAGAGAACAGCACTGAAGTTCAGAGGACAAAGGAGATGAATATGGAGAAGAAATCCCGCTCCCATATATAGAGTCAAGCATCTCCCTTTCTCTCTCTTTTTTTTATAGTGCTCCTGGAAGCCCAAAACATTGCTGTATTTCTTACTCCCAGTTCTCGGTGATGGTGAAGACCCGGGAAGTATTGCCATTAAAATCCTGCAGGATGGTACTGCCGGCAACTGATGAAGTGTACAGCTGACTAGGGTTAAAAGGGTTAAACTTCATTCCTGTGATGGCCCCTCCAGCTCCCATCTACAAGGAAGGGGATGAACAAGAGAAAAATCCACTGAGTGATGGGGAAGGAGGGAAGTGCATTCTCTAAATCTGCATTCACTGCTATTTCTTAACAGCAACAGAGAAACACAGTACAGCCCTCTGGGAGGCAAAGACAACCATACCAACCATCATGTCTTCCCACATGGCAGCTGTCTGGGCAGCCGCCCCTCCGCAGAATAAAACTGTAACTCCTCCAGTCCCCAGGTAATGTATTCCTTGGCTGGCTGGCACCACAGTATTAAAAAGAGAAAGATGACTCTGGAATTCTGGGAGGATATATCCCCCCCCAGCATACAGTTATGTTAATTTACAAAAGGACAGAAGTTAAGAGTCTCTTCAAGTCTCGGTAGGAATGACAGTGGCTGAATATAGTAACATGGGCATGCCAGCTATGTAAGCCACCCATTGTAGTTCAGCTTTTCACTTCAGATCAAGAGACTTCTCCACTCTCCACTCAAAGATGGTTTTTCCTTCATCTGACACAATAAAAGGTGAAAAAGATCAAGACCTAAGACAGACTTCCTTTGAGTACTTGTTTCTGGCATCCCTTTAAAATTACTGTTTTGCCAATTGCTGACTTATTTTCTCACTGAACACACACCAAGTATTGTTTCATTATGACTGTAATCCATACATCTCTGTTTTCCCCAGCACTAGAACAATCTGGAACTAAAGAATGACTCGCTGGTACATTTCAATTGTTACGCTACTCCTCAATCTCCATTTCAGTTTTGGGCCTTTATGCACATCTCACAACAGATGTCATTTTTGCAAATATTTGGTCATGCTTCAGTTTTCCATTCCTTCCCATTCCACACACACAGAGACTTACCCCTTTTATGAAGCAGGTTTTAGTAAGTACTTCATAGTCCCAAAGAATGATGTCTCCACCTTTGGAACCAACAGCTACAGTACTGGGGTGTGTTGGATGCCACTCCAGGCAAGTCACTCTCCTGTCAAAGGGACTCGCTGTTCGAAACAGGCGGTATGAGGTCAGAGAACGCAGAAAGGGCAGCTGTAGACACTGTTACAAAGATAAAAGAGAATAATAACTTCTGTAGGGATCCCTGAATATCTCTGAATGCAGAGTGCTAACAATTCCTAATCACCACCAGCCTTAGCACACTTACACAAAATGCTAAGTCCCTCCGTGCAATGAAGAGAACACACTGTTCCCCAAGCAAGCAGCCTGTGACCACACAAAACCAAATCAGCTATAGTTCTCAAAAATAACAGAGACATGAGAGATATATACTTCAAATGACGTGCAGGGGGCTAAGTATTTTAGGTTGAGTTAAAATAGCATGATAACTAACACTAAACAAGGGGGAATCATAGAATCATTTGAGCTGGAAGAGACCCCAAAAGGTCATCTAGATCAACTCCCCTGCTATGAACAGGGACACCTAGAGGTAGATCACACTGCTCAGAGCCCCATCCAGCCTGACCTTGCATGTCTCGAGGGACAGGGCATCCACCACCCCCTTGGGCAACGTGCTCCAGTGCCTCACCATTACTGTAAAAAACAACATCTTTATATCCAATCTAGATCTCCTCTCTTTTAGTTTGAAACCATTTTCCCTTTTCCTATCACAATAACCCTGCTAAAGAGTCTATCCCCTTCGTTCTTGTAGCCCCTCCTTTAGATACAAGAAGGCCACTCCCATGTCTCCCTGGAGCTTTCTGTTCTCCAGGCTGAACAGTCCCAGCTCTCTCAGCCTGTACATGTAGGGGAGGTGGTCCATCCCTTGGGCCATTTTTGTGGCCCTCTTCTGGTCATGATGTGCATCTTTCCATCCACATCTGGATGCAGTACTCCAGGTGACGTCTCATCAACACAGAGTAAAGGGGCAAGATCACCTCCCTCAACCTGCTGACCTTGCTTCTCTTGATGCAGTGCAGAATACAGCTGGCTTTCTGGGCTGCAAGGGCACACTGCAGGCTCGTGTCCAGCTTGCCATCCACCACTATCCCAAATCCTTTTCAGCAGGGCTATGCTGTTTCCTTTTGTTCCCCAGCTTGTATTGATAGTGGCAGCTGACACAATGGAGGAGAACACATCTCCCACCAGAAAAAGAAACTGATGACTATGCCTGCACTGAGCATCCTGAAATATTATTCATCACCTAGAGATACAATAATACAGCCTTCCATCCAAACCGCTTGAAGCACAACAATACAGCATAAGAGTGAACAAGAGCAAAACAGAGAATGAAGAACCATAACACAACTCTGTTGTTATTCAGCTGAGGAACAGGTACTGCTTGGGTGATGATGGCGGTTTCTTTAGCATTTTGATACTTAAAATAGACAAATCATCTGAAAGATAAAGCTAGTCTAGGTGCTTCCCACCTATGGATATCACAGAAAAAGTTAACTTTCAAATGAAAGGAGCGTGACTCTGAAAATCAGGACAAAGATTGTGGACTTGAGGGAATTTGTCTGTGAAAAAGAGAAATCAACATTAAATTATACATGATTAGCGAGGCAGAGCAGATGCAAAAATAATATGACAAAACAGTTACATCAGTGTGCAAAGGCAACACTGTGCAATAACCTAAATGGTAGTGAGCACAGTTTAAATATAATTAAAAGAAGCACAGAATGAATACAGGGTAAAATGTTGCAACAAGGCTACCTCAACTAAAGGGACAGTCATCCCAGTACTGGCATTTTACAGGACTAAGAAACATAAGAGTGTGCCAGATCTGGAGCCACAAACTGTGTATGTGAGCATTAAACCTCTTTAAAGTCTCCTCACTTGTGTTCAAAATATTTTTATTTTTTTTTGTACAGAGATGAGATGTTTAATGTGTCATAAGGAGGAACTCCTCACCTGCCTGAGCTGTGCCCGGATGGAGCCTCCCAGCATGTTCTGGTAGACATAATGAACAATGCTGCACTGCCATTTTGGCTGATGGAAAAAGGCTCTGGTATTTTTCATCACAGTCCCACCTCTATTCCAACCTGCCAGAGAGGAAAATGAGTGAAAGTTACTGAGAGCCAGTGCCCAATGCCCATTGTGTTCATTCACTAAACAACGTGGGAAAACATCTGCATTTTCTGTTAAATTCATGACAAGCTTCAGCCACAAGAAAAAAGACTCAAAACATGCCTAAGTTGCAAGCAGCCTCTGCAGCCTATGGAGTCCAGTGCTTCCCATAGGCTGCCAGAGCTTTGTGTGCGCCTCTGCACATTAAATCTTCCTTTTCCTCATCAAAGATTTGCCAGAAAGACAAAGAGAGGATGAAAGCAAAGCTTCTGGTGGTGCATCTCTGGGACAGTATAGAACCTGAGTGATTCATACTTGGAATCTATCTAAAGCTCCAACAACCTGGAAATACATGATGGGAGGGGATGAGCCCATGTGTACGGTGGAAGATCAGTCAGAAATGTTACATCTGAAAACTCCCAAAGCGTAGCAACATGACTTCCCATGCAGTTCCTGAAATGCCTGTATGTGAATTAGAATTTTCTATCTGCTTGTGCTGTAGCTCATACAGTCTGTCCAGAGCACTGTGAGTTTTGTTTTTGATAATAGACTTGCTGACGCCTCATTGCGTGAAAACCTTTCTGTTCAGGGTGGTTTTTGCTGAAAGCACAGCATGCTTCTACGTTCTGTCCATGTTCCAAGTTTTATCTTCAGGGACCTTTACATAAAAACAAGATCTGCTCAGTCCCACGTCTGTGATCTAATCATCCCCATGGCAATTGTCTGTAACACTCCAACAGATCTAGGTGTCAAATGGGAAAGACGTCTTTCTTAAAGAACAAAAAAGCTACTTTAATGTAAAGGCATTAATGAAGATACAGAAGAGCAACATCATAAGTATCATTCTGTGCAATTAGAACCTGAACAAAATCTTCCTTTAATGCAACCCTGGAGCTAAGAAATGCAGAAATGCAAGACTAAGCCTCTACATTCACATGCCAGCACAGAGCCAACACGCCACACCTGCTGAAATGGGAACAGAAGGATTGATATTTTAATTCCTTTCTTTTTCCCCACGGAAGAATTAACATTCACAGTTCCTTCTTCAAAGGTGATGGGGAGTTTTTTCAGATTCAGTTTTATTTCAAAGGATAAGTTATTAAGAACAAATTCTAGGCCTGTTTAGCATCTGCTGTAACAAACCCTTTCAAAACAGATTTCAATTGCAAGAAACTGGAGCTGTCCTAAAAATACAAGGAGAATTTTTTTTTCAACATATGTAAAAATCAATCCTTACAATAACTGAAGTCTAAACAACTTTTTTGTTACTGCAGATTTTCCCACCATCTTTAAATCACTTCTCTCTCTCTTTCAATAAAAAATGTAAGACATCTTTAAGTTACAAATCAGAGGGAAAGAAAAAGAACATGAACAGTGATTAGTGGAAATTCTGTCCAGTCTAATCTGAACATAGAGGTAGGAAGTATTTAGTATACCTTCTCACTTTAGAAAGTTAGAATACAAAGGATTAGGTGGAAAGGCCAGTTTAGGCTGCATGCTGTAGAACACCAAACTTACGACCATGAAACTGCATTAATAACTGTATGGAAGAAAGAATGATATGTGGCCAAGGTCAGTCTGTCCTGCACTAAAGCAGATGTCTGCTAACTTGGGAATTCCATGGAACTTAACCACTCTGCAGTGGGCTGTGACAGTAATATCAATAAGCAGGCTTCTATCAAGGGACAAAGTCTCAAAAACGAGACTTGTGTACAAAGACACAGCGCAACTAGACAGATAATTGGAGGATGTACTACCCCAGTGCTGTCTGTGTTATACCTCTAATATACAGCCCTATCTGAAATCTCGCATCTGACCATGTTTCTTGGCATCCTCTCTCTTCAACTAGTTAATGCCTGGGATTTAGGGTAAATCTGGCTGGGAGCAAGAACCTTAGGAAATGTTACCAATTTTCTCTTGGGCTTTGGATGTTTTCCTCAAAAACAATTTCTTTGCTAGTGGTACATTCTCCAGTCCTTCGCAGTCCAGTTTCCTTTTCCCAGCTGATTTTGCCTCTTCTGACCAATATGTCTTCTCATGCTTCTTGTCCTTGGGCTGGTTCACTGGAGCCATTCTGTCTGACCACTAAAAGCAAACAAAGCACGGAAGGTAAGACTGCCATACACAGAAGACAGAGGAAAACGGGAGTGAAGCACACCCCAGTGGCCTGGAAGTAGCAACTGTACCTTGTGCTCCTTTCATCGGGATGACAGTAGCTTTTTGTTGCACACTGCTGGGGAAAGGAACAGGTTCAATAAGCTCTTCTTTGTTCCCACATGAAAACGAATGCATCCTAAAACACTAGAGTATGTTTTGACAGATGTGCTTCTACAGAACATTTTAGCCTAAAACCCACAGATCTGCATAAAGTACATCTGTGCAACCACATAATGCCCTACTGTTTCTCTGGTGGCTCACAGCAAGCTCTTCAGATTTCGCTAGGGAAGAGATCAGAGCCGTTACCAAGCCGGTCAAGGCTGACTGCTTTTCCACCACGTGTTCAGACGACACTTCCTACCCAGCGGCCGCTCACAGCCCGATACGCGGCTCGGGCTCCTGCTCTGAGCGCCAGACACGCTCGCAGCCGGCAGCTCCTCGCCGTGGGCCCACTGACTGCGGAGGGCCCTGCCAGGCTCTCCTCCTCGATGCCGATGGTTAAAGAGTCGCGAGCGACTGCCGCGGAGGTGGCCGCGGTAACCGCAGCGCAAATTCCCATCCCCGCACGGCTGGGCTTCCCCAGGGCCGCCCCGCTCTCACCTGCGCTCCCCCGACCTCCGCTCCCCAGCGCCGCCGAGGACGGCGGGCGGCAGCCGGCCCCTCCCCGAAGGTTTCATAACCGGGGCGGGGAGCGAAGGGGGGGGGAGCAGCGGCCGGCGGCCCCGGCAGCGGAACGGAGCCCGGAGGCGGCGGTCATTGCGCCCCTCGGCCCCGCTCGGCAGGGCTCGCCGCCAGTACGACGAAGAGCCAATCTCCGGGCTTTTCTGCTGAACCGCAACAACGCTGTGTTAGCTGCTGGCATCCTGCAGCTGTCAGAATGACCTACAAAAACCCACCGACAGACGACACAACCGGGTTTTGAAGGCATACGCCAACCTGACTGGCATTGCCAGCTCTTACACAGCACTTCTGCAGCACAGCGCTCTCCTGAGAGCTATGCCCACCACCAAAAAGTAGCAATGGCAGTAATCGAAAGTAGTCCTCACCTGCTTTCCTGGGGTACCACAAAGGCCTGGTTTACAGGAAAGGAAACTGTTGCAGAAAAATATCCTCCTTGTCTTGATGGCAGTCAGCAGTGCTGCCACAGGTGTGCACAGGGTCCCGACATCAGGGCTGGGATCTGAGAAGTTGACCAGAAATCACCAATGGCATAAACACGAACATCTTTAGTTTTTACGTACTTTCCAAGGGGTAATTTCCATGCCAGAAACACTGAAATCCTCACGTTGCTTTCAGTGATCAACTCATTAATCCCAAAGCAAGCTGTGATGCTGTGATCCAGCTCATCTGAGCAGAGATGTGCATTTCCCATCCTGCTCCTTCATCCTCTAGGGTTCGTCTGCTTCCCTACACAGCGAATGTGCACAGCAGCCCTTGTGTTTCCTCACTGAGCTGTCACGGTTAGCATTTTCTATCAATTACTAACACTGAGCTTGCTTTCTCTGGAGAGTCATCAGATTATTTCCGTAATCATTATTCACTAAGGACAAGAACAGCAGATCGCAAACCATGCGCAGAAGACACGCCACCAGCCCAGGGTGCCACCAATTGGTATCGGCGTGCCAGCACTGAGCAGGTGTGGCACTCTGAGATGGCCAGGGAAGGAGTAATTCTAAAAGAATATTCTCACATGTGTGCATAGGCTCACACTCTTCAAACTCCTGTATGCAGCCAAGGTAGAGGAGTGTGATTAGGCATGGGCAGAGTACAAGCCTTGTTTTCACAATGCCTTCTGTCCAACATACAGTCAGTTACAGACCTCAATTCTCTATCACAGAATTAAGACATCCTGTTGCCAGCTTTGGTAAAGCTATATTATGACTAAGACTGTCATCTCTGTGGTATTTGTAATACTGGACAGTATTTTGCCTCCTTGTTGCCAGGACCTTTTTCCAAAGCACGAACATTTCTGGCTACTTTAGTCTGACTGTGATGTAAAGAGTACCATTACAACAACTTGAGTTTGGCCTGCATAAGAAAGCAAGCCTACATTCTGATAAAAAAAAAAAAAAAAAGAAAAGAAAAAAAAAAAAAAAAAAAAGAAAAAAAAAAAGGAAAAAGATACAACCCCAAAGAGAGCAAAGAGAATAAGTATCATGCTGTCTGGCCTCTTTCTAGCATATGATCTTTACTAAGCTGTCCTGGACCAGAAAAACAAAAAGTATTGCTATTGTATTAGCCATATTACAATATTCCAGCTTTAGAGGGAAGGAGGGAAAGGAGCGAAGCAGCAGTGTTACACAGTACCGTTGCCACTTAGTGCTGGGGGCAAGCAGACCCCATGTGGAAAGCATTACCTCAGATGCTCAGTGCATGAGGTATAACAGAAAGCTGGGTAAATGCTGGCATAAAGTATTAAGGAGTAGCAGATTTTTGGTCTTTCTATACCCCATTAATCTGCACAAATTTGATAGTGGTGTTCATATCTCATACTTGAATTAGGGAATATCTATGCCAAATAAATTATTTTTTTAACATTATTTTTAAGTAAAATGCAGAGTTGATGCTTAAACCTTAACACTGATTAACTCCAAGGACCAGACAAACCTTTCCAGTCCCACTGGGAAGGGACTCCAGAGGCAGTGCAGATTTATAGCGTGCTTTTTCCTCTCTCACTCTTTCCTTTCTTTGCTGATTGAATAAACATCACCACGAACGCACAGCTGGTCCCTGGAGCCAGGTCTGAGGACTTTTGGAAATGGTGAGAGGGGCCAGCATGGCCCTGCAGCTCCGCTATGAGCTCTGCCCCGGCGTCATGGCAAACCCCACCCAGGCCTGGCGCTGGGGATGGAAACTCTGGCCCGCAGCCCCTGGTACTGCTAAAAAGCTGGCTTCGACCGGGACACTGAAAGATGAGTCTGGATTACTTAGGGAAAGGTTTCCAGAAGAGAAAGTGAGCGGTCAGCTCTGCGGGAGCCGGCCGCCGTGCTGAAGCTGCTGCCCACCTCCAGGAGAGCGACCAGTGCCTCATCCAGAACACAGGGACAGGCTCCGAGGACAACGGGGCTCAGGGAACCTGCGACCTCCACACCGAGCCGCCTTCCACTCCCTCAGGCGCCCGCCATGACGGGGCGCTCGGCCCGGCACCTCCCGCCTCCTACGAGCGAGGCTCCGTCCCCTCCCGGCTGTCCCACGCGGCTCCCGGTCACCCAGCTCCCGGCACCGAGGCGCTGCCCCCCGCCCGACCCCACCTGCCCGGGCAGGGCCCGTTAATTGGATCGGGAGAGGGCGGAGCGGACGGAGCCTCTTCGGCGCTGCCCCGCCGCCAGCGGGCTGCCCCCAGCGCCGGGCCCGCCCTGCCGGCAGCTGCTGGGGGCGGGGCGGGAGCCCCCGCGTCCCGCGGCTGAAATAGGGGAGGGCCCGTCCCGCTCGGCCCAGGTGCCTGCTGACCGCCGGGCTGTGCCGTACCGTGCTGCCGGTGAGGTAAGCGACGTGTCCTCCGCCGGGCCGGCTCTCTGCGGAGTGCCGGGGCTCCCGGCTGCTTAGCGGCGGTCGCGAGGGAGAAGTTTCCTCGTGGAGAGGAGGCGGCTGCGCGAGGCGCTGCCTGAGGACGAGGCTCGGCGGGCTGCCGTGCGGCTGGGGAAGGCTCCCGGAGGAGCCCCGCGCGGCCCGGCCACCGATCTGACCTTTATCGGGTGCCCGGCGGCTCGCGCCACTGGGGGCTCGGCGGGCCGCCCCGCTCCCCTCCCGCGCTCTCCGCAGCCGACGCCTCCGCTCCGCGGCGGGGACAGGGGCCCCTTTGTGTCGGCTCCGCCGCGGGCCGCTTCCCACTCTGAAACTGGAGCCGCGGGCTCCGGCGGCGCCGCGGCTGAGGAGCAGAACGGCTTCCCCGGGGGAAGGGGCCTCGCTGGGGCCCGGGCGCGGGGGTTCTCGCCGTGCCCCTGCCGTGAGGAACGGGGCAGCCCCGCTCCTGCTGCCCTCTCCCTCCCCGCCCGGCGGGAGGCTGCGGTCTCGGTGTCACGGTGGGGCAGAGCCGGGCGGTGCCGGGCTATGGCACGCCGCTGGGGTTACCGTGTCCTGCCCGCCCTGGGCGGGAGAAAGCTGATAAACTCGGAGGTATTAGTGGGCCTGAATAGCCGGCACTCGGTCTGTGATTTGTTGCTGCTCGCAGGAGGAGGGATCTGCCATCTCCACAAGACCATCAATAAATGAAGTTAGCGTGGCCCAAATGCATTAACCAGTTTCACAACTTTCTGTGCCAACTATGTGTTCTTTGCTTGCCTCAGTTCTAAAAGCTCTGCGTCGTCCCCAGGCGGGGGGTGAGGAGGAGGTTAGCTGGCCACCTCTGGACACGTGCTGTGGCCTCTTCATTCACACCGTAAGCTCCGTTCCCAGTGGGTGCTCCCAATTTTCAGCAACGAGATGTGAACCTCTTCCTTTCAGCTTCACTGCTAATCTAATTTGCACGAAGGAGTTTCTGATACTGTGGTAATTGATTGTGATGCACAATACTAGCAGAGCCTCCCGCTCCACCCTGGAATTCAGATGTCACTGAGAAGTCATTGAGCCCTACGACAACTGAAATGTTTCTCGGTGCGTAATGGGAGCAGAATGCACCTCTGCAGCGTGTGGGCTAAAATGACAGGGTCCAGCTGCTCCTCGCTGCAGGTGAGCTGCTTTCTGGGTGGAGTCAAAATGGAGCTTCTCCCCTGTGCATTACATAACTGAGCACATTCCTTTTTTGGGCAGGATTCACCTTTCCATGAGGTGTACGCTGTACTCTGCAAGGCGGTCTGTTGTTCTTTGACAGAGTTTTGTGTTAATTATAGTGCCTTGTGAGAAGTCACCTAACGTATTTACTAGATGGTACTTCCAGTTGCAGCTCTGAACAGAATGGCTATGAGCTGGACTACTTGTTTCCTGCCTTCCCTATCTGTGCCCATGTATCTGGGCTGGGCTGATATGCTGCAGGTCTTTGGCAAACTGTGTGCACAACCAGGTCATAGGAGCCTGAAAATCTTGAGGGCCCAGACTGAGTTCTCCCCAGGACAGTGACTGATGCATTTTAGTCATTCTGGGTTGTTGTGGATTATATGAGAGCTAGCTTGAAACTTCTGACCTTACCATGGATGAGCACAAGCTTCCAAAAAAACCCAAAAAACAAACAAACAAAAAAACTATAGAAACAAATTCAAAGGTACAGTTAGGTATATTTGTAATGTGACTACTGTTCCTTGGAGATAACTACAAAACCCGATTGAACAGATTGGGCACAACATGGGGGCATGATGAACTTCTGTTAGGAGCTCTTACTGTATTTCAGGATGGCATATACTGTGTTTGCATTATTCTGGCCATTTCGAGGGCTTGAACTGTTTGGTTCATGTGATGGCTGCCATCCAGGGATTGAACTGGGGACCTCAAAAGTTAAAAGTATCTGCCTACAGCCTGAGTGGAAAAAACTATGCTCTTGATTAGAGAGCAATAATAAACTGCTTCTATTTTTTCCATCAGCTGATCAGTAATATGGGAATTTAGGCTGCTCATGAGAGTTCATGGGGAAATGCTTAAACAATAGCAGAGCTGTTCAAGCCCTTTGAGGGGCTCTTATCTCCCTAGAACAGACTTTTTGATCAGGCAAGCTATTTTATCGCCACTTATTTAGCATGATGGGTGTAGATGGTGCTGTATAACAGGGAGCTGTGTCAGAGAGATTAAATAGAAAAAGCCTTAGTGGATGAGAGAAAATGTGACTAGTATACCTGGAGTTTTTCACAGAGAATTTGGGCTTTAGCTCTTTGAAAAGTAGCAGAAGAGTTCTGCATCCTTTAGAGCAGTTCAGAAGCTGTTTAGGTGGCAATTTTTTGCCTGCTACCTTGTGGCATAGTGATCATTAAGTTTAATTAACATCCAAATACTTTCTGGCCATAGTTGCAGAAACTTTTCCAGCAGACAGTGTAAAGTCAGTGCAGAGAGTCTGGTGTGTCCCCTGCTGTAATCATCCTGCTTTGTTTTGATGACTGGTACAATAGCTTCATGTTCCTCCAAGCTGAAATGTGGGTTGAGGCTGGGTATTGCTGTGAGGCAATACGTGTGACTGGCATCCTAATCATATTTCAATGTCAGTGGTTGCTTCTGTCAGAATGGCACAATGAGAAAGAGCCTTTCAGACTTGTGATAGTTGGAATTTGTTAAATCTACTGGTTGTCACCAAGCACTGCAGAGTACAGAAGGGGTATGTGGGAGATCTCCCTAGTAGCAGGGGCCTGTATCCAGAGGCATTAAGCTTGTGAGGATTTCATGTTCTCCTGTACTACAGTTGTTTATCGTGACCTGCCAGACAATCTTTCTAGGCTAAGAGACTTAGAATTGCTGCAGGCGACAAAACTGTCAGCAACTCTTCAGCTCTGTCCATGCTATGAGTGTGCCCAAGCTGTGTCTCGTCTGTGTTCAGGAAGGTGTGGTACTTGCCTACTTGGCTATTGGGAACATGGTCAACTTTTTCAGTCACCCATAAATGATTATCTGTGGGCATTAACTTCCTCCTGTCCCTCAGTATCCTTGCTGCTGAGACAAGCCTCTCTTGCATTTGCTGAGCAGAGCAAATAGGCTTGATGCCTGGCTCTGACAAGGACAAGAAACTTTCATTGAGGACTGGGAGAAGATGAGTATATTTCACTTCTTGAATGATTATAAATACTTTTTTGTTTCTTGATGTTTTTCAGTCAGCCCTTTCTTGTACCAGCACTGCCTCCACCACTGCCTGGTAACATCTGTGAAATATGGATGTTGATTCCAGCAGGCTTTTACCCCAGCACAAACAGCAACCAAAAAAAAACTAGTTTTCTGAGCTGTAGGATAGGAGCTGCTTCTGGAAGCCACGAGGGGGAGATTGCTCTGTTTGTGCTCTGATTTTTATTTATTTTTTTTAAACATTCCTAGTGTGCTTTCCTCACATGTCAGTTTGGGTTCTGAGGATCAGAAGCTGAAATCTATATGATTCTATCTGTGCTGTGGAAGCAAATGACATTCCAGTGATGCTCAGCAATTGAAATCTGTTCTGTAATATATGTACTTTGCACTGGCTGTTGTATTCTTGTGGGATTTCGTTGATAACACCTGAAATATGAAATATATTTATAGACTTGTTCTTCAGCTTGATATCTAAAAATTTATTTGAAAAGGGCTGAAGAGACTGAAACCAAACACCAGATTCTGTGCAGTTAACATGAAAGTCGACAAAAGTTGCAGCAAGGATCTCTGGGGAGAATGGGCAAAGTACAAATATTCACATTGCAGGCCAATTCTTAATGGCTGCCCTTTTTCAGCCTTGTTTACAATGCGTATCTCTAGAGAATATGTCATGTATCTCATATATATATGAGATATTGTTATTTTTGAGAGTGGACTATGAAGTGATTGAATCTGCTATAAGCTTCTAGGACTTGAAGATGCTTGGAAGGGAATCTAAGGTAATGAATATTCTCTCTACTTCCCCAATGCAAACAACATTTTCTTTTTCCCCCAACATGCTTTTTTCCCCCCCAAAACACTCTGCAAAGTAACCTTATGTAACTGCATACCAATAGTCTTGCCACTTCATATGGTACTGCAGCCTGCTTTACCCTTATGTTGTATATATGAGTCTTGCCTTACAGTTACATCTTTACGTTGCTTAAGCTTTCCCGTGAGGAAGAAATTAAGTAAACCTAGCTCTATTGGCAAAAGGTGAGCAAAGAGCCTTGCTATCAGTAAAGTGGAGGAACTGCCCACAACATAAACTAGAAGAAATTGAATATGATGCTTTACCTCTTCCTCTAACGTAAGAGATATACTAGTACTGAATCTTACCTTATTCCCACTTGCTGTTCATGAAACTGCTAGTATTCTTTTCTGCACAGCCTGTTTGGGACTGAGCAGGGAACTGAATGAACTTAGAAATATCTTGATGATCATTTAGGCTCTTGCCTGCATTGTTTGGAACAGAAACATTCATCAAAGCAATAAAGCTGGTTAAGGGACTCGAGAAGATATGTGGAACTGGGGTTGTTTAACCTCATCACTCTACAACTACTTGAGAGGAGGCTGCAGTGAAGAGGGTATCAGTCACACTTCTCAGGTGACGTGATATGATGTGAAGAGACAGCCTCAAGTTGAGCTGGCAAGATTTAGGTTGGATACTGGGGAAAACTTCTTTGTGAATATCAGGTGATCAGCTATTGGAATGGCCTGCTCAGGGAAGGGGTGAAAATGATGTCCCTGGAGATATTTAAAAGATGTGATCCTTGGGGACGTGTTTTAGTGGAGGACGTAGAAGTGTTAGGTTGATGGTTGCACTTAGTGATCTCAAGATCACTTTCTTCCAACCTAAATGATTTTAAGAGTCTTTCTAATAAACAGTTTCAGTAAACTAGCTTTTACTGAGGAAACCCAGATACCTTCTTGATACAACTAGAGATGAAGAAATGTTGTATTTTGAAATCATTGGGCGTGTGATTGCTGTATATTTTATCAAGATGGCAAGATACCTGCCAACTTCATCTCCCTTTCCCCCTTCTAAGAGACCTGCAGAACTCTAAGTGTTGGTAAAGTGAAGCCAAGAATTTACTTTATATACAGAGGTATGTGAAACTGCAGCTGGGCTTAAAAAAAAAAGTGCTACTTTCAAATGGAAGGAAGGAGGAGACACAGCTATTTGGAGATTAGGGTCTACTATGTAGTCCTGAAGCAAGGAACCACTGAAAGCTCAGTGCTAGAACAGAGCTAACTGGCCTCTTCTGAAGGCTGCTTGATTGCAAATGACTGCTACCTTAAGATTTCTTAATACATTCAAGTAAACTTGATCCTTGCTCTGGGGTTACAAGGTGACTCAATCACAGGAGGAGAATGCTCTATTGACATGGAGTAGCCACAGTTTTGTTTAGTTGGGAAAAGACACTATTACCCTAGTATTTCCCCTGTTCATTACTCTGCGTTGGATGAGGTTGGGGTTTGGATCATTGTTTTTTCACATAAAGTTCTAAACAGAAAACAACTGTATTATAGCCTAAATGGGAGAACTGCCTCAGCCTACTGTTGTGATCAGAGATATCTTAAGTTACAGGCAACTGTTCTACAGGATGGACCACTGATCTTGTCTAGAGTGCAGAAAAAATGTGATCAGGTGAAAGTAGATTAAGTACTGGGAAAAACTGAATTTAGTGCAGATTGAGACTGTTGAGAAGAGATAACAGCTTTTATTGGGGTCTAAGCAATTTAGGAAGAAATAGCTTGTTTACAACAGTTAAGCAGAAGAGAACAGCAACAAAAGTGAGTTGCTGATGCACGAATTTGCTGGCAAGCTTGGCATCTATTTGCAGAGACTGACGCAACAGGATAGGAAGTAGGCAGTGTGAAAGCAAGCAGCTGAAGAGGCTTGGAGAGTGGGACAGTGAGCTTGGAGGCACCCTGTCTGCATGGGTTAACTCCTTGCTCTGACAGTGCTTTCTCTGGCTCTGTGAGAACTGGGAAGCAGGCAGGCTGATTGTGTGAAACAGGTCCTATGCTGTTCACTAAGCTAAGAAATCAGGCTGCTGTAGCGCAATTCCTAGTAGCTCTTATCAAACTTCCCTCTGCTCTTATTAGAAGCTGCCTGTTAAATATAGCTGCAGCATGCATGTCACGATTATTCTAGCAACTGTTGTAAACATACAGCAATTATAAGCAAAGTTTCTCATAGGAAGAACAACTGAGGAAAAAATAGCATGGACTTTGATAGCCCAACGCACTCTTTTATTAATATTATCTCATACTATTATGTTAACCAGGACAGATCTGTGTTTCCTTTAATATTAGAGATTTCCTACATCCTATGGGAGTAGAAAAGGAAATTTTTCTTGGTGCAGTGGTTTCTGCCTGGTACAGCATGTTGGTTAGGAATCTTATCCTTTAGATCAGCAATGATATGTTGGCAGAAGCTTGTCCTGTAGCATTGACCTCTGAGAACTGAACAGGGAGTAGCTAATGGATATGGAAGGTACTTTGTTCTGTCTGAACATGTGAAAAATAGAGTTTAAAATAAAAAAAAAAAGGGAGGAAGGGTATAGCAGGGTATCTATTCACAGGATATTAGCTTGGCCTGAATTTGGAGGAGACCAATATGAAGAAGGTGAAACCAGACAGTGCAGTGAAACATCGCACAGACTTAAAGGAATCATCCTCCTTTAAGAGGATGAGGATCTTGTCTGCATCTTAATACTTCCATATAGTCAAGGAGAACTTTGCTAACGGTCAGCTACACAATCTCTAGAGAATTACTGTTTTGGAGACAAGCTTCTGTTGAAGGCTTGCACATAGCTGAAGTGACCTTTGTGTGCAGTTACTGTTCTGCCTGATGGCCCTCTGACCTCCCCCTGCCTGGAGAGATCATCTGGAGTCTTTCTCAAAACTGCATTAGGCAGTCCTGGTAGGCGTCAGTCCTTAGGGAGCGGCTGGGAAATGCTGGTTTGCTGTTTGTTTACCAGTCAGGTGACCCTACCGAGGGTGTGATCACAGCAGTAGGATAAGTATCTCTAAGGGGTGTTCTGCTGAGTAGAAGTCATCTTAGGTACATGGGCTTCTTGGAGGATCTGTATTAGTTGGCAGTCTCTAGCTGTAAAGGTGAACTGGCCCCTCTTCAGAGAGGTGAGCACACCTGTAAATATCAGTGTTCCTGTGTTACACCACTCTCCAGTGGTATACCTTGTTGGACACAGCTCTGAATCAGTGACTGTAACTATTGGGTGCCTACCTGTGGGGATGGGGAAACTGGAAAGAAATGCTGTCCCGTGCCTTGTTTCATTCTTTCCATCAGGACTTTCCTAGCACTGCTGTACCAACAGCAATGCTGTTCATTGTGCTGATGGTTTCATGTAGTTCCTCCTGGCTTCAGCTTTTTAGCTCCTTTCTGAAAAACAGTTAACAGAAAATGAAGGGTTTTTGTGCCTGCTGCTCTATGAAGGAAGTGGTGGTGTCAGTACTTCTGTGTATTTGGATTGTTGAGATTGAAGTGCTCATTGGCAACCTATACTGGAAGTGCCCTGGAGAGAATGAAACCTTTACCACTGCCTGCATACAGGAAAGGTGACTCTTTGGGAATCAAATACATGAGTTGCTGCTGCTTTGTGGTGTTACTGTTTTCTCAAGGGAGAAATTAGTTATTAACAGCCTGTTCCTAATTAAAACTAGGTGTTAAAACGAAACTAAGCAACACATAGAAATTGGTCCATAATAAAAATCTTCTTCTGCCAAAGCCCTGGTTACTGGATAAATAGAATTCAAACTTATTTCTGTCTGCCTGAATCCAGTGCTTAAGCTTGTACTCAGGAAAAGGGGAAGAGTTGCGCAGAAGGCCTTGCTTGGCAAGTGAACAAACTCTGTTTCTGTGGACAAATTCCTGCAGGGCTGCACGCACCAGCCCTGTGAGCATTTGTAGGGCCCAGAGGCTGCTTCTTGGCAAGCCTAAGAGAACAATTGCTTACAGGGAGTCAGTCTCAGAAGGCAGTCAAGCAGTGCACAGAAGTGATGCCTTGGGCGTTGGAGCCTGGAAATACTGGAGTGTGGTTTAGAGGGAAGAAGATTTTTGTGGTTTACCTGCCTTAAGGAAAAGTTTCTGAAGTTGAAAAGAGTAATTACTATCCAGTCTAGGCACTATAATTGTGGAACAAGACCCTGTTGTATTAGTGTTGTGTAAACTTGAAACAAAAACAAATAGTGCCTTCCCAGATGCATGCATTTGAAAGCAGAGAGTTTTAGTGTGACACCTTGGTTTGAGGGTGGGGAATTACGATCTGGGATGTGTGACTGACTGTAGCAGGGTGAGATCAGCATGGTTAAATGTGGAAACAGCCCTGCCATGACAAGTGGCATTTCTCTGAGTGAAGCTCAGCACCAGTGAATCAGTCATGAGCCATTCTGCCTTCCTGCAGCTGAAGATTAAGAGCCACTTTTGGGTAACTTACTATGCTGTTCATAAATGAAAGTAGATCTTTAGGGAAGTAGGAGAGTATCTTTTTTTTTTAACACTGTCAGCAGCAAAGGCTGTAGCTCTGCGTAAGCATCATTTATGTCATCTATTTTGTCTACTTGACACTGCTGTTTGTAGCAGTGCCAGTGATGCCCTCATTTGTAACTCTGCAGAGGTGTGAAGTGACTAAAGAAGAAGTCGCTCTCCTTCAGAGAGCTTGTCTTGCAGGAGCTGCAGTGAGGTCTCCAATCTTTTATCTGTGAGATGTGAACAAGGAAAGCAGGAGGGGAAGGATAAACATTCCTCTAGGTGTGCAAATCTGTTGTTGGCCTCTTCTCAGCAAAGGTGGCAGTGGCATCAGAATGTGTCGGTGCCGATCCACATGGAACTCAGCTATACTGCTTGTCCTGTGCAGGCTCTCTTAGCATTTCTGAATTACACGGTGGCTTCTGCTACATTGGGCTGTGCATAGGGTAGTACTGTCATCTCTATACCTTGCTATAAAACAAGCTTCAGGCTTTGGCATGTGTAATGCTTCTCTATTTGTTTTTCCTGGCAAACTCAATTTTTCCCTGGTTTTGGGTTCTTGGCAGCACACAACACATATGTTTCAGGAATAACGAGGCATGAGGGGGTGGAGTGGCAATCTATTTGCTCTTCTTGGGCTGAGGGTGACAGCAGCAGCTGTTCTTCAGCTTCTGTGTGCGCTACTAAGTACCTTCCCTGTGTCTGCACGCAGATCCAATTTGATCTGCTGACTGACATGGGCTCATGGGCTATGTAAAGTCCAGAAAAAGCCTGGCAGAAAAGGGTCCTCCTTATTTTTTTGACCTTTTTCCATCTTTCAGGACTGTGTCTTTTTGGTTTTTTTTTTCCCCTGGCTTCTATAAAGTCTACATAAACGTTTAAATGTGTATTCTACTGAGTGCTACTTGATGCATGGAGACTGACCTGCAGAAATATTATCCTGCTTTTTTTTTTTTAATTGTGCCACCTAGCTACTGCGGTGGTTCCAAGTTGAGCCTTAAGCTGTGGGATGCTTTGCCACATGATATTGTTGATGCTGAAAACTCGTATGAGATTGGAGAAGTTAGTGGAAGAGAAATGCATTGAGTGTTTCTAAATTCATAGGTGCCACATCCAGCTCAGGAAGCTCCTGTCAACAAATGGTTAGAGGCTTGGAAAATATGCAGGGAGGCATCATGTATGCTTTCTCTGTTCTCAGAGCAGGGGAAAATACCTGCTTTTGGCTACTGTCTGTGAAGGATATAGGGCAACAAGAACACTCAGTCTCGTTCTGCACTGCTACTATTACGTTTCAGAACTTGCTAATCACAAGCATAGTAGACCCAGTTACCTGGGCTTGTAACTTGATGAAATAAGGGAGAATAGCTCACGTTTATTGTGGAAATGGCAGAAATATAATTTCTCATGATTTCTTTAGTTTTTCTTTAGTTCATTCCCAACTTCTTCAATTTTGTTTCCAACTTGAACATGAAAATAGCAGAAAGAATGGATTTCAGTTCCTCCTTTCTTATTGACTATCAAACAAACAAGCACACTCTGACACAAGTTTTCCACATTTAACCCTGAATTCTAGGACTGTATAGTCAGCCTGAACTGGAAACAAGAGATGGAAGGCATGTTTGTGATTCACTGCTTCCTGATAAAGAAGTGGGGATGGGGGAGAGTGGGAGGGAAGGATGGGAAAAAGTGATACAACCTTCATGAGTTGTAACTAATTGATCCCTCTCCATGAGGAGAAAGCAAGCTTGTTTTTAATTCTGAACTTAAAGAGTCCTTTGTTTCATAGATAAATGCCCTTCATCTTTACTAAACATGGTCTGGAGAAGGTATATGTCTGTCCTTCCCCTTCTCCTGAAGTTTACTAAGCCTAAATGTGGTGGCAGTGAGTTTCCCAAACCAGACAGTGTACAGTTAGGGGGTGAGGGGTCAGGCCCCACATACCGTGCCCAGGGAGTGTGCTTATTTTAGGCCCTTCTTTCCTTGGGCAGTTCCCTTTGCTCAGCTGTTGTGATGCTACCTTTCCCGCACAGTGCTGTCATCCCGCCCCAGTGTTTCTATTTTAACTTCCTCTGGGGCTAGATCTTGTGACACAGCGATCTGGCATCTCTCCTACGTGTTGGAACGTGGCATCTTAGGAGGCACAGTGGCCGCAGCTGCTATATCAGAGGGTGCCCCTCCTAGTAGCTGGCAGAAGGGGGACAACCTTATGTCTATGCTGGGATTGGGATGTGTCAGAGCAGGCAGCGAAGCAATGCTATCTAACTGTGCCCATCTGTCTCCTCTCCAATCCGTTTTACAGAATTTGAGCTCAGGACGTAGTTGCCGGCTTCCTGCTGCTCCCGTCATCTCATTTTCAGGTATGTAGCTACTGGGGACTAATGTGGAGTTGCATGCCCTGGAAACCAGTAATATGGCTTTGCAGACCTCTGAGGAATGGTGGGGGAGAGGGAGGATGGGAACAGGTGAAGTTGTTCTGCAGGCTTTGAAGTTCATGCATTTGAGCACCACATCCTATTTAACAACTTGCTTCTGTGACTGACATTCATCACTTCAGCCTTCTGGAGCAGCATTAATATACTTTCTACTGTCAGTAAGATGAGACTGCAAATAGAGCGTGGCTATTGCCAGAAGAAATGGAAGAAATTCCTGCAGTCTTTGTTGGGACACTTCATGATGTGGCTTGTGCTATAGTAGGCACAGTGGAAAGGACTTTAAAGATGTGGGGGATGCGGACTCTCGATGTGATTTTCTTCATCTCTGCTGTGTACTCTGTGGGCTGGCAGAATGACCAGATACCTCTCTGGGGTGTGAAGAAAGCTTTTTATAACTAGGAATGTGCAAGAGGAGAAGTGGCAGCAAAGGACATCTATGGTAGATTAACCCAAGCTTGCCTAGAATGGAGCGGGTTTATATGTCAACGCTTGAGTCTCTTTGCATTACTCTTTGCTCTTGCCTAAGATCATCCCAGAAGCTTTCTCAAGGTATTTGATGTTGCACCCTGACAGGAGCAGAATGGCAGCACAGGCTTGCACAGGGGAAATGGGCAGAAGAGACAACAGAATGAGAAACACTGTTCAACTCCTTGCCTGGATTTTGACCCTAGTGCAGTGGTGGGCTGTGCCAGCTTTACAGAGATATTTCTAGGGAAGCGGCATGGCTGAGTAACTGGCATGCATGCTGCATTGCCTTTCCCTACCTGGATTTGCTTCAGCATATTTCTGTAGTTTTACTTGAGCCCAACTCAGCCAATGGGCAATTTGTAGGGCTCCTCCCCATTCAAGACATGCCTGCCTGCTGACTGCCCAGCATCACTATTTCCAGTCAGCTGTAATCCTGAATCTCACACTGGGAAGCTGGAGTCATCTGACAGAGGACTTTCTAATGGTTCTAGCTACCTCCATTTCTGTAGCTTTTGCTACTGTTCTATGAGCCTTGGTGAAGAAAAGAATCTCTGCAGAGGTGACTGCTGCTGAGAAATGTTGGATTCATCAGCATTTCTGGGATTCATACAGCTGAGGTTTGGCAAGATGGTCTTCTGCAACATTCTTTCCAAATGTGCTCCTGGGCTGCCAAGGAGGCCCTTCATCTGCAGGGAGGGAAACAACAGGCAGGTTCAATCTTGGGCATTTCTGCTACATACAGCCATCTGCCGCTGGAGGTGCAGTGATGGCAGTGCTTGTCTGCAAGACACTGAGATTTCTCTAGCGAAGTTATGGAGAACTGTGGTCTCTGCAAAGGTTCAGACAGTGCCATATTAAATTTTTTTTCCTTCTTTCCTCAGCTTAACTAAAATCTGCAAAAATTCTCTGCTGCAAGAAAACGGGTGTGATGTCATCAGAAGATGATGCCGGTGGGGAGGCTCCTGAGGGTAGTTTCTGGGAGGTAAGGAAAGATAATTGGGGTGCGAGGGAGGT